TATCATATTAGGTACAAATATGACTTCGTAAGTATCCTTGTTGTTGTTGTTATTTGCTATTGAGTTGGACCCAGCTCATAGCGACCCCTCCTTGGGTTTCCGAGGCAGTATCACTATGGAAGTAGATTGCCCCATCTTCCTTCCGAGGAGTGGCTGGTGGGTTTGAACCGCCAGCCTTCTGGTTAGCAGTCAAGTGCCTTAGGCACTATGCTACCAGAGCTCCCAAAAGTGTCCTTAGAGATTATATATGGTTAAGAAGATATGTACAACTGCCAAGTTGACAAGGGTGGACTGTGATAGTTGGAGCTGTGTGTCAACTTGGCTGGACCACAATTCTGTGTGGTTTAAGCAATTATGATGTGGCTTGTTCTAACGATGGGATCAGATGTATGTTTTGAGCAGCCAATCCATTGAAAGGGAGTTTCCCTAGGGGTGTGGCCTGCTTCCATTATATTTATGGACATCCTGGGAAGAGAGACACTTTTCTGTGGATCGGGATCCTGTTGTGCTGCCTAAAACTGTCCATGAGCGAATAATCCACCAATCAACCTGGAGATCTTGGATTCCTCATTTGTTGTAGTCAACAGACGGTATACTGCCTGCCAACGTTGAGCTCTTCAGCCCCTGGAGTTGAATGAGTCAGGAAACACCTCCAGCTTGATGTTTGATCCAAGAACTTGAGACTTGCCAGGTTCTATAAATGTGTGAGCCATTTTCCTAAGATAAATTTCTCTTTCTCTATATGTATACATAAGCTTTACTGGTTTTGCTTCTCTAGAGAACCCAGTCTAACACACTCATGTACTTTGGACGTTTTCAGGAGGGACCATTCCTTGGAAAAGCACATCATGCTTTGTACAGGGTCAGCACAAGAGAAACCCTCTCAAGGAAACAGATTGACACGGAGGCTGCAACAATGGGCTCAAACATACTAACAGTTATGAGGATGGCACAGGATCAGGCAGCATTTCATTCTGTTGTAGAGGGCTGTTGAGTCAGAACCAACTCAATAGCAATTAATATCTTTCCTGATTTGCTCTCTTGTCTGCTCAGATCTATTAATCATTTAATGAAGTTTTCCTTTTAGTTATATTCCTTTTCAGTTCCAGAATGTGATTACTCTCTGTAATTTCTATCTCTTTATCTATATTGTATATTTGTCCACACATTATTCTCTTGGCTCCCTTTAGGTCTTTGAGCATATTTAGCAGTCAATTTAAGCTATTTGGCTACTAAGTTTAAGTTCAATGTCTGTGCCTCTACAGGGAGTTTGTTAATTTCTTCTCCGAATAGCCATATTTGTTACTTTGCATGCTACATAATTTTTTTAAAAAACATTTTGAATATTATAATGTGTACCTCTGGAAATCAGATTATTCATCTCCTTAAGGTTTGTTTTTGTTGTTTGATGTGAGCTGTATGTGTATTTTTACTGAATTTTCAAAACTGTTTTGGTAGTCTATTTTGTTATGTGTGGTCTCTGAAGTCTCTATTACTTTGTGTTCAGGTAGTGTTTTGACAGATTTCCTTGAAGGCCAAGGGCCAGATAAAGAGAGAGATGAAGAGATAAAGAGGTAAAAAAGGAGAAAGAAGGAAAACAAAAAAAACTTTCCCAGTATTTGAAGACTGGCTCTGTAGTGGAGCATTCCTTTAATACTTAGGTCATTTACTAATACCTTCTGCCTTGGCCTTCAATTTCTGCTTGTGCTGAGAAAAGCAATCAGGATGAAGTGAAAGCTTAGGAACTTCTCAGGTCTTAGCTAGGCATGCGTCCTGCTCTGGGGATAGGCAGGGCTTTGTAAATTTCCCCAATACACAGGCACTTTTGAGTGCCCCATCTTCTCTTTTCCTCCCAGGCTTTCAGTGTTCAAACTACCACAACTGAAATCTTTTGACCCAAGTGGCAACTGATTACGTTTGATTTATAATGGTTTTGAAGAATGCCTGACACTTTTTTTCCTTGAGTTCCAAGTTGGGTGAAATAAAAGAAGTTGCTTTGTGCCAGTCCTTCAGTTAGCCCCCTGACAGGTCAGAACAATTACTATTCTCTTAGAATAAGGTCTTCTCTGCTCCCTCTAGAAGCAGGGACTAAAGCTACCATCTTTAAGACCACCACTATGCTCTTGGGGATGGTAAATCTGATTTAAGCAATGCCAGAAGCTTTTCCAACTATTTTAAATCACCTTTTTCTTAATTTAGCATTTGCCTGGCTGTTGTAAACCTTTACCTATTTTCCAGAGTTCTGATGAAGTTGATTTTGGATAATTTCTGCTTGATCTTCCAAAGTTCCTTTGGAGGGATAGGTCCTTGAAACTGCCTACTCTGCCATTTTCACTGACATCACTGTGGTCAATTAATTTTGACAGAGCAAAGCACTGGAGGAAATGAAAGTCTTTTCAACAAACAGTGCTAGAATACCTGGATACCTATGTGGGAAAACAAATGAACTTCAACCCCTACCTCACACCATGCACACATATTAATTCTAAGTGACTTATATAGATAAAAGTTAAAACTATTAAGCTATCAAAAGAAACAGAGTTCCTCTTTGTCTTTTATCATTGCTTGCTCATTTAGTTCTGGATTGGAGATCAGACTCCATGATGTTAGTCCTGCGAAGTTTTTGAGTCTTGTTTTATGGTCCATCATGTGGTCTATCTTTCCTGTATTTATTGCATTCATTTCTCCTTTTCCATTATGAGTTCCTTGAATATGTCAGAGGTAAACAACATAGTTAAATGCTTTCTAATAATAATGATGATGAATGTATCGATGAGAACAGTATAATGTTACTAAATATTTACTATGTGAAATGAACAGTTCTAAGCACTTAATATTTATTAACTCATTAAATTATCATAGAAAACCAATACATACAGCATGATTATGTATACTCATACATAAGAAGTAAAACACCACTAATATGTATAAATAAAAATAGAAAAATATCTGGAAGTATAAATGAATCTTTGATAACAATGGTTACCTTTCTAATATGGGATTGGGATTAGAAGCATTGAGTAAAAGAAACAAGAGTTTATGATGAGAAAATAGGGATAACTTCAGCACTTGAAACAGATGTTTCAAGAAGAAAAAAGAAAACCTAAAACATTCAAAGATGAATTTGGATCCTATGGATCAAAGCAGGATTTATAATGGCAAAAATTTAGAGCTAACTATAACATTCATCAGGATGAATAATGAACTAATAATAATAATAAATACGTATTTACTGAAATGGCAACCATGATATAGTTTAGCATGCTAAAA